TAATTTTTGTAGTTTGACTTGAGCATTAGGGTGATACAGTTTATGTGTGTGATATCATGTTTTGGTGGAGATATGTTTCTATTTTATTTAGTTTTGGGGTATATAGTGAAGATCTATGTCTTTACCATATGATCATAATTAACTCTCATGAGTATTTATACTTGTAGGTATTTGCTCGGATGACACCATATGACCTAGGAAAAGCATCTTGTGTATGCCGGAAATGGAGGTTCACAGTTCGGAACCCCGTGTTCTGGCGTAACGCTTGCCTGAGAGCTTGGCAGTCTGTTGGGGTGATTGAAAATTATAGGATCTTGCAGTCTAAGTATGATGGATCATGGAGGAAAATGTGGCTTTTAAGGCCAAGAGTTCGTACTGATGGTGAGATTTTGTCTTCTGCTCCGGGAAGTTCTAGTTCCTCGTTCTTCTTGTTGTGGTTTTTCTCCGTCTTCATAGCAAATCTAGTTTACATCTCTCGTCATCTGAGTCTCTCTTCCTCCACTCATTGGAGTAAAAACGAGAAAATACAATGTGATTTCTAAGAAGCTTGTCACTGATATGCATTTCTTGAACGAATCCGTCTATTTTCCCTGGTTCTTAATTCAAGACTTTTAGAGCGGAGGCTTGAAGATGTTTTAACTTCTGTTTTCAGGTCTTTATGTGAGTAGAAATACTTACATTCGAGCTGGAGTTGCTGAGTGGAAGATTACAAATCCAGTTCACATAGTACAGTTCTAAGTCTCTATCTTAAGCTTTATATTCTCCGTTAGTTTCTTTTCTTTTGCCTATTTTTTTTGTTCGCGAGTCTAACTAATAGTTCTCTTCTTTTCGATTGCAGGTTTGTTACTTCCGGTACATAAGATTCTATCCCTCTGGGAAATTTCTGTACAAGGTTTGCACATCACGGTCAAAATGGTTTATACATCGGATTGACAGGCCGATAATCTATCTGAATTCCTGTTATGATGTTATTTAATCTCCAGAACTCTTCCCAAAAAGTGAAGGAGGTTGCCAAATTCATGAACCATAAGGCGGCTTCTAAAGCAGACTGTGTTTTCAAAGGCCATTATACATTGTCAGATGACAAGGTTAGTTGATCAGAGAGCATAATATCTTAATGTCTTGAGACTGTTGAAACGTATTCTTGTTGCAGATTGAAGCTGCTGTTCTGTACCCGGGTTTGCGCCCTACGGTTTTAAGAATCCGCCTAAGGTAATAATAATTCCTTAAACATTGTATTAGATATTATAGAACATGAAAAAAGAACCCATCTAGGCATAGATCCTCGGTGTTGTTACTAAGATTTGTTCTCTTTTCTCCATTTTCTTGGTTTAACTTGAGGTAGATATAACTGTACGGGGTGGGCAAGGGACGGATATTCGGATTATTTGAATTCGAACCCAAATCTTTCGGATCTCACGAGATATTATCCAATCTCGAATCCGTTTTGGTCGCGCATTTAAAAGTTGGATACTGAGATAATTTTCGAGTACCTACGGATATTTGAACCCAAGTTTAAATGCCAACTTTCAAAATTTTCAAAAATTCAAAATAAATACTATATATTAGGAGTTAGACTCGGGTCGTGTATTTGAGATTTTCGAGTTACCTAAACCCGAACTTAAAATTTTAAGAAAGTTTATGTATATCTCTAACACCTAAGAGCGAAAATGTCAGTTCTTTATTTGCTATCCACGGCAATACCTGATCTTGGACTCAATCACCCGAACCTCAACTTGATTTTTGGGTTTTTCCTCATGCTATCGAACTCATCTCATATAGTTCTTGGATACCCGAAATTCGGGTTTTTTTGCCCAGCCATATGCTTCCTTTGTTCATCGGGTAAAATCATAGATAAAGAGTATCTATCTCAACTCAATGCATAAGCCAAAGAAGAAGTTAACTATATAAGCAATTCCTACACAAACACACACACACAAAAATAAGATGCCATAACTTAACTTCAAGCTATGATTATTCTGCATTATGTTTCTGAAATGATGCATTTGGCGAATACTCTCTGTAGGTTACGAGGAACGGTGACAGGGGCAAACAACCGGATGGATCTGCTCTCGCTCGTAACGAGCGGAGTGAACGACGAGGAAGTGAACAGTACAGAGGAAGATATCCTTGGAGTGGTTGAAGGTTGGGGAGATGATGAAAGCCATAACCCAGATGTACCTGCAGTCTCGCACAAGAGAGGTTTAACTCCATTTGTCTTCGTCCCCTTTGACGAGGCAAGTAAAATATTACCCGATTTCGCTCGGTTATTACTGGTTTAGGGTTTTGAATCGTTTGATCTGATATGTATATTTCTTGGATTCAGGTGGAGAAATCGGTTTTGAACTTACCAGTGGAGAAGATGGATTACTTTGTGCCTGGCTAAGTGCAAAAGATGGCATAAGATCAAAAGGGGGAAACTTTCTGTACAAAATGTATAAATGTGGTTCTTGGATTATTAGGACATATGATGATTGATGTTATTGCACTGCCAACTGTTTTGTCAGGATACACTTTGGTACTACTCTGCTATTGTACCGTCTTGGAATAATTCATCATCTGAGGTTTCTTGTAGAACAAGTAAAAGACCGGTCTCCTGTCCATACTCTGGATTTAAGATCCTTGGAATGCACCAGATGGTTCCCTTGTCTGGTCGTCAACGATTGGTATTGATGTGGTCTTGCAAATCTTTGGGCTTAAGGCCTGTTTAGTATTAGGCTCTCAATTGGAGCATTATCGAAAATACCCCGACTTTCTTGTTGGGCCTAACTTCAATTCGAAGACAATGGAAAAAAACTGATTTTTTTTTAATTTTTGTTTTTGACATGGTTTAGCATTCCGATTCACGTGTAAATAACTTCAAAGCCGTTATTTAACTGTCGTTACGGCAATATGGTGTCAACAAATGCCGGCGTTCATAAAGTTTTGAACTTTTTGCTTCTCCATAGAATCAGAACTTCAGATTTCGTCTGTTCTCAACGCTAAAACTCAAAGGTTATGTTGCTTTCCTGCGAGAGAAGACCATAAGATGAAACCCAAGAAAAACTCGGACAAGAAAATGAAACATGAAGAGAGTAAAAGATCTGAATCCTCCTTAATGTACAAAAAAAAAAGGTTTTTGTTTATTCCTCGAACTTGACTTGAAAAGAGTAACAAGCCGAACACGAACAAATTCTGGTGGTAAAACAACATGTCTGGACGACAGGGAATGCGATAGACAAACCGATTGGCTCATCAGTCAGCTCGGGACTGCCCAGCTCGGGATGAGAGGATGATGCCAACGATGAGGCCGTATAGAGCAAGAGCCTCGGCAAAGATCAGAATGAGAATCATTCCCACAAAGAGCTTTGGTTGCTGAGCATTTGCCCTGACACAGACACAAAGTTCATACCGAAAACAACAGTTGGTGAGTATGAATCTGGTAACGCTAACTAATCAGTTAAATATGATCCGTCAGTATCATTTCAACTCTAAAAACTAATGCCCGGGTCATACTGATACACATCTCTTTGAATCTACAAGACCAAGGTCTGGTTTCTTGGTCATGACCTGAGGTTTAGTGTAAAGCACACCAATGCTAATATTAAGTTCGCCAAAACTAGATTGAACAAGCTAGAAAACACAGTACTGCATAATATAAAACAGAACATCGTAATAAGTCAGTTTTAGAACAGATCTAGAAGGTAAAACAAAGTGAAATCCACCGACTCTGAGATCACACCTCGCAACCTCCAAAATCCATAAGTTAGAGCCAACTTTTTAGGGTTTGGTTAAAAATGTAGAAGAAAATGTTAAATGCGAGCACTTTTCATCTCTAGAGATACTGCCCTCATAGCAACGTGCAAGAGTAGCAAGGCCACTAGAAGCATATCTCTCTAATCATGTCCTAATATCACTTATCCTTGAAGATATCCAATTATTTACTCGTCATACTGATACACATCTCTTTGAATCTACAAGACCAAGGTCTGGTTTCTTGGTCATGACCAGAGGTTTAGTGTAAAGCACACCAACGCTAATATTAAGTTCTCCAAAACTAGATTGAACAAGCTAGAAAACACAGTACTGCATAATATAAAACAGAACATCGTAGTAAGTCAGTTTTAGAACAAATCTAGAAGGTGAAACAAAGTGAAATCCACCAACTCTGAGATCACACCTCGCAACCTCCAAAATCCAGAAGTTAGAGCTAACTTTTTAGGTTTTTGATAAAAATGTAGAAGTAATTCTTAAATGCGAGCACTTTTCGTCTCTAGAGATACTGCCCTCGTAGCAACGTGCAAGAGTATCAAGGCCACTAGAAGCATATCTCTCTAATCATGTCCTAATATCACTTGTCCTTGAAGATATCCAATTATTTACTTGGACAAATAACGAAACAAAAGATGTCTGAAAAAGGGATTCTCAAACATTCATCCTAGTATCAAAAACTATCTATTAATGTAGGAAAAAAAGAAACAAAACCTAATAAGGATACTGAAGAGGAAGTTACCTGACACCAGCATCACCAACGATCCCAATAGCCATTCCGGCAGAAAGGCCAGCGAGTCCACAAGCAAGACCTGACGACAAGTGTGCATAACCGTCAAAGAGATAGTATGATTTGGCTTTCGGGTTGATCCCGGTACTGATGATAACGGCTATAATCAACCCGTAAATCCCCAAAACTCCAGCCATAACCACTGGAACGATCGATTTCATGACAAGCTCGGGCCTCATCACACCCATGGATGCCACACCAACCCCACTCTTAGCCGTGCCATATGCAGCACCCATGCCTGCACCAGCAGAATACACTCAGAATCACACACACAAATATCATGCCCACCCCTTATTTCAGAAAATCACATTACCCATAACGCATAATTCAGCAGAACATATACACATAATCAATCCATTATAGTTGCAAATACAGAGAAGGTTCAAGGAAACCATTTATCATCCATTTCATAGCACAGCTATTACGAATGATATCCTCAAGCCTCTCGATTTATCTATTTAACCTATTCCATCGAAGTACCGGAAGCATTTTGCATACTCATCCGAGATTATCATAATTGTTTCAGATTGCAAATTGCAACATACCCTTATTCAGTTCCCGAACAACAAAGCAAACCCAGATCAACAACAATCCGACATCTCGGATAATTCACCTAAGCGGACTAAGAAAAAACACTAGATTTGCTTCAGACATAACCGGAAAAGAGTAAGAGAAAAATGATCGAACATTACATGAGAAGACGAGAGCGGCGGCTGCTCCGAGGAAGCCGAAGAAAGGAGCAGTCTCGTCGCCGCTGAAAACCGAAGCCATGGCGCTTGTAACTCCTTGTTTGGATGCGAGGATATTCGAAACGGTGATGGAATAACGTTATCCTTGGCCTGGATATGATCTCTGTTTTTTCTTCCAAGCTTGATCGGATCCGAGAAACGACTCGATGAAGATGGAGAGGACCACCTGCTGATTCATGATCATTGATAAATACGGTTCTAATTTGACGAAAATACCCCCGATGTTTCAACTTGGTTCAATTGTAATTACCGTTAACCGCAGGGGCATAAGTATACCCAAATGGGTCGGGTTTTGAAATTGGGCCTAACCTGAGTGTGGGCTGAGGCCCATTAGGAAGTTACCATATTTGGAGAACAGAGTCGAAGGATAAAAGGTAAATTAGTGTTTTTTTCTTCCTGAAGTATCTTCGCTGTATGAATTGCATAACGTAAGAGCAGCTTAGCCAAGGGGAAAAAATCTTGGCTTTTCCCTTTCTTCCTTCCGATCTCTCTCGCTCCGCTGATTCCTCTCAATTCCGATCCCAAAAACCCTAATTTATTTCACAAAACCCTAACCTGGTTATCAAGATTGTCCAGATCTGATATTTTCGGTGTTCTTGCGTTTCGAATTTACAGATCCAGGCCTTCTTTGGTTTCAGGTAATGCGATTTCATGTTTTGTTGATTCTAATCCTTTTCTTTCTCTTCTTTTGATTGATCAGGGACTGATCGGAAAGTATTTTATCTATACGCGCAAGGATCGTTTTTTTTTTCCTTTTTTTTAATAGTTGCATTTGCTGATGTTGATAATTGGCTGAACTTTTCTTATTGAATTGGTAGATTTGTTGGTACTGCACGGGGGATTTCTTGATTGTTGCGAAAGGTTTAGAATTTGATTTCGGTTTGTTATCAAGCATGGCTGCTCCTGTGCCTCCAGGGGCACCTAGACCCAACACTCAGCGAGCACCTCCTCCGAATTACTTCCCCGGTTCACAAGGGAACCCTAATCCCAATGCGATAGCCGATAATATGCAGAACTTAAGCATTAACCGGCCTCCTCCTCCGATGCCTGGTTCAGGTCCTAGACCACCTCCCCCTTTTGCCCCATCTCCGCAACCTTTTCCTCAGCAAGGCCCTTCCTTTGGCGGGCCTACTCCAATGGCTCGGCCTGGTCCACCTCCCCCTGCATTGGCTAGACAAGGTGGGCAACCTCCCATGTCCCAACCCGGGTTACCTTCGAATGCACCATTGGGTAGACCCATTGCTCCGCCTGTTAGTCAGGCGCCATTTGGTGCCAGACCATTTGGTGGGCCTGGTGCACCCCCTCCAGTTCCTTCGGGTGGTTTCCCAGTTTCTGGTCCACTGGGCGGTGTAGCTGCAGCTCCTCCTCTGGGAGCTCGCCTGAATGCTTTTGGTTCACCTCCACCTGTGGCATCTGGTATGTCTGTGCCTCCTCCCTCAGGCATGCCTGGCGGTCCAGTCAGTAATGGGCCTCCAATGGTGGGTACTGGGTCATTTCCCAGGGGACCCAATTACCCTCCTGCTGGCGCTACTCCACAAGCACCCTATTCACAGCCTCCTACAGCACCTTTTGTTCGGGGTCCTCCACAGACCCCCAGTTCACCACTAACTGCACCTCCTGGTCCTTCAATGCCTCCACCAGCAACGTTTCCTGGGGCACCTCATAGCAGGCCAGCTGTATCTGCTTTACCGTATGGTATGCCACCTCAGCAGGTATATACATGAAAATATTTGTTATCGTTGATATTTTTACTGGTGTTGATGTAATTTTTGGTATGAAGAAATATCTGTGCGGTTATTGGAAAACAAATGTTGAACTGGATGTATCCATGAATCATTTTAGATGGGAAATGTACTGATTGATTCAAGATACTCTCTCCTTAATTATGATGTGTATAAAATAGAACTGGCTTTGAAGGATTCTACGTTGTAATGATGATGAAAACATTTAGTAAACCTAATGTCAAAGAAGTAGTTCATACTTCATAGGTATTTACTTGAGCATGTGATGCTTTGAAAACTAATGATGGTCAGGATTTGGTTGATATAGTTCATGTGCATGGTGCATTCTGAAGGATTCTACATTGTAATAAGAATATTTTCACTAGATATAGTTTGTGTGCATGGTGCACTCTGATTGTCTTGAAACTTGAATATTGGTAGGTCGTTCCTCCTCCTGCTGTTTCTGGTTCAGTGCCACCTTCAATGATATATGGTATGGGTCCATTGCCGAATCAGTCGATGACCACTATACCCTCGGCAATGGGTCAACCTGGAACATCTCTCCCTGGTCCTTCAAAGATTGATCCTAATCAGATCCCAAGGCCCGGTTCAAGCAGCAGTCCTATCATCTATGAAACTCGCCAGGGAAA